CCCCAAAACCCCAAAACCCCAAAACCCCAAAACCCCGTTTTAGCTATCAAATATTGAAACTTATGAGGCATTAAAAAAGCTGCACAGGTAGTAGCATAGCAGGGCAAGCGTTATGAAGACAACCCATGACGCTATGATTCTATAAACCCATATTTTCATAGGGCTGCGATATCCTGTAGTGTTTCGAGGCAGCATGCCAAACTCATCATGATACATGCCGAACCTGTTATCCTCAGTTTTAACATCATTAATTTTAAACTTGAGCATTATTCCATAATGATCGCTTGGCATAGTTGGGAAGAGCCTTTGTTTGAACCTAAAGGGTTTTAGAAAAATAACTCACCATGGGTTAATTGGTTTATTTCCAAACAGCTGGATATTTTCAGCCTCAATCTGGCTATGTCTCTTTAGAGCAATTCTATCTAATCTCAGTCTTCTGTTATCAAACTGTTGTAGACTCCACAGAAGCTTATTTGTTTTTCCATCATAAGTATATCCTGACAGATGAGAGTGCTTATCTAGCCACAAATCTGTGTAATTCAAAGACTCTAGTGTCTTGTTTTCTGAAGGAAAATGCATGTTGAAGTCACCCAAAATCATGATGTTATTGTTATCAAGCGCTTGTCTAATCCTGCTCTTTTGACTCTCGTCATCTGCAAGTTCTCAAATTCTACAAAGTGAAACCGAGACTTACATCTGTAAGTTCTGGTTTATCTTTGACAGTTCTATTGCTCTCATGGATTTCGAACTTCCAAGAGTGTTAAGGTGAATATTGATTAATACAAATGGCTTGTTATTGCACTCAAAAAGGCAGTAAATGGCCCTATCCCTAATTAGCAACTCCTCAAATGGGATTGTAGATAATACAACTGGAAAATTCTGTTTATCTCTTGTGGCCTCGTGGCTAGACCCCATATATTTCTCCAGTAAAGAACTTTGCAACAAAAGTCTCAAATACTCTCTTGTACACCCTTGAAGAAAGATGATATCTGCGTCCAAAGATGGAAGCAAAGTATCGATTTGATAGTTATAACGTAACCTGGGAGCACTAAGCCACCTTGAGATCCCTCATTTGGGTGCTGGAAGTACATTATATGTTGCTATCTTGAGGTTATCTCTCTTGACCAGGTCCATGTACCTATTTCATAAGTCTAATAACATAAATCTCTTACCCTATTCCATCATCTACTCTTCTATCAAGTACTGGGACATCCATGTTAAATAATTTTTAACTGAACCGGGGTTTTGGGGTTTTGGGGTTTTGGGGAG